ACTTGCCATACTTGAGCGTATGAGGCAAGACCAGGCACGTCAGGCACAGGAGACCGCCGCTACATTTGCTCAGTTCCAGGCTCGGCAGGATGAGTTCCAGAGCCAGCAGCAGTCGATCCAGCAGTAGACTCAGGCTCTACAGCAGCAGCAGCAGGCCATGCACCAGCAACAGATACTCATGCAGCAGCAGTTCCTTAGATTTATGCAGCATGTAGTGACAGCCATTGGGGCTCCACCGACACAGCCTTTGCCCTAGCTTGGTCAGGCAGCCACTACATCGATGACTCCAGCGTTATAGCCCAGTGGGCTTTAGAGTCAAGGATAGCCACCAGCGCCGTTTGCTTCTCCTACCGAGCAGGTGTCCTAGTACTTTGCTTCGCCAACGCTAGCCCCGCAGTTCACACCTTTTCAGACGGGCTTCACACCGGCTGGGACGTCTTCGCTACTTGTGCCAGAGACCACCGTGTCCAGGAGCCTTGGTGCTTTATTCAGTGAGTTGATAGGGATGCCCACTCCTCCATATCTACATGTCCCAGGTCCTTCTACAGTTGCACCTGTTACCAGGACTATAGAAACGCTCCCTTCCTTAGTGGCATCATCAGAGCCTACTATAGTCATACCAGCTCAGTCTATAGCAGCTCTAGTTCCTGGTCCGACCCAGACTGCTACAACATCACTTCTAGCTATAGAGGGTCAAACTGCTCAGAGCTCAGGGTCAGATGATGATGGCACATAGTTCCAGCTCGCCCCACGTACCTCAGCGCCCGACTCATCGGCTGCAACCCCGCTGACCGACCCTTAGGTTTTGGTGTTTGACGCCAAAGGGGGAGAGGGTTCGAGTATGTTAGATTCAGGGGGAGCGACGTATTACGTACTTAGGGGGAGCTTAGTTATTATATTAGCTTATATATTACATTTGGAGTTTTTATGTGTGATACACTATTATGCATTCGTCGTGTGCTTATTAATGCATTAAAACTATATCTATGTGATAGTGATATCTACGTGATCGTGATATATGACATGTGTGCTCTCTACTTTGGATTATTTATATGTCATATCACTTGTGCGATGCTCAGCGTTTTTACTCCGATGCAAATGAGCTTTATTACTTGTACTCATGCTTATTTCATATCTTTGGAGTACATTATGATGGCTTGGGTCATATAAGCTTGATTAACTCTTTTGTTCTTCTTGACAAAAGCTTATATGATCCAAGCATGTTAAAAATCTCAACTCTTTCACATACTCGAGGTAGTATTGTCATCAATCACAAAAAGGGGGAGATTGAAAGCATCTAGGCCCCTAATTGGGTTTCGGTGATTAATGACAATATAAGATTACTGTGACTAACGTGTGTTTTGCAGAGGTAATTAAGTTAGGTCACGGTAATGGAGATCGATTGGGCAATCATGGTTGTCATGCCCCTACGATGGAAATCGTTTTGGTTTTCAAAGGATGGACGACATGGTTAAGGATGGACTAGTTCTAAGTGTCGTTTGGAGTTGGAGAGACACTTAGAGTAGTTTAGGACTTTGTTTTTCCTTTGGCCATACTATTAAGGGGGGTATGGACGGGTAGCTTGACCTAGGTGAGTCTAGTGAGTTAGGTGTGGTGCACACTTATTGAAACTAGCGCTAGGTAGCTCCTACATATGCCTAAGATCCATTGGAGCAAACTTCATTCACATATGATCGAGAGTTGGAAGTGAATGGAGGGTCAAATACTGACGGGACGCTGGCTCCGGTGCGACCGGACACTGGCTCAGGGTCCGGTCAGTTCATTTGACCGAGGTGAAATCATTCGGTACGACCGGATGCTGGAAGGTCATGTGACCGGACGCTGAGAGCCAGCGTCTGGTCGTTTCCAGTAAGGTTCCAGAGAGGGAAAATCATGACCGAACGCGTCCGGTCAGTGCTGACCGGACGCTGGCTGGGTCCGGTCGCACTAAAAACACTAGAGTTCAGGGTGTACTGATCGGAGCGTCCGGTCAACATGACCGGAGCATCCGGGCACCCCGTAGAGGCACATAACGGTTCGTTTTTCAGCCCATGTTATAAATAGAAGCTTCACTCGTGTGTGGGGGTACTTTTGCTCATTCCAACAGCTGAAACACACCTTGGAGAGTGCCAAGAAGAGCAAGATCCTAGTGAGGTGATTGAGATTTGAGAATCCCAAAGAGAGCCCTCATTAGTGAGATCAAGAGTAGCAAAGTGTGCATCCATCTTTCTCTCTAGGCTTGTCGTGGTCAAGTGAGAGTTCGTGCTTGTTACTTTTGGTGATCGCCATCATCTAGATGGCTTGGTGGTGATTGGAGAGCTTGGTGATCATCCGGAGAGCTTGTGGATGACCCAACTCAAGTTGTGAGCGGTTGTGGGTGATTCACCGCGACGGAGTGTCGAAGAATCAACCCGTAGAGAGCACTTGATCCTTGCACGGATCAAGGGGGAGCTACACCCTTGCGCGGGTGCTCCAACGAGGACTAGTGGGGAGTGGCGACTCTCCGATACCTCGACAAAACATCGCCGCGTTCCTCCTTCTCACTTTACTTTGAGCAATTCAATTCTTGTCATTTACATTTTTAGAATTGCCATGCTAGAGTAAAATTGGAACATAAGTTGCAAGTCTTTTGTGCGGTAGAACAATTAGAAACACTTTTTAGGCACAAGGGGTTAATTGGGCTAACCGTAGGATTTAATTATTGCAAAGAAATTTAGATTTAGCCCAATTCACCCCCCCTCTTGGGCATCTTGATCCTTTCAATGACTATTACTACATTTTGATGGTTCTTGTGAGTTCATTTCATAGCAGGAAAATGCCGTACCAAGCTTTTTTCAGCGTGGAAGGGTGCTCTTTTTATCAACGTTGTTTCTGAAAGTACTGTCCAGACATGGCCTAAGTAGCATACAATTGTTTCCCTTGTACTGCAGTGGGTCAAAGAAACTGGTAGACATGAAAAGCTATGTAAAAAGCTTCTTAAGCAAAAGAAACGACCTAATCTTCCAATATTTATACGACCAAATGTATTCAATTTTCATCTCAGCTTTCAGTTCAAGTGGAATGTCTAAGTCCACTAAGAAATTACAGCTATAGTCTTCATGTCTGCAACAGAACAGGTAATGGCCATAGTCATGTCCGCAGCAAAAAATAATGTTTATCCATATCTATTTATTTATTTATTTATATAGATACTGATCTCAAATAATTTCAGCCATATGTGGAGTAGATAAACTTTGTGTAATAACATGTTAAGGCCTTTAAGGCTATTGTTGCTGCTGCACTCTCCTAGTGTGAAGCATGTTATGTTTTGTATCAACATGAATTAACCTTGTGTAATCATTTCGGTAAAAGTAGTTTCTGCTGTATAAACAAGTCAGTAGAAAATATTTGATGCCATTGCCATTAAATCAAAATGTAATATTTTTAATTTGGCATGTACATTTATTCTAAATTTTCTTCCTTTTCTCTCCATAGTACAGTCAATAGGTCTGAATCATGAATTTTTCTCAGTTTGTACATCTTTTTTTTGTTTCATGTACTGTAGAGATAGATGGGGATTGCATTGATGGAGAAATGATGGGAGGAAAGACAGCAAGCTAGGAGAATAGATAGTGAGTTCTCTTTGAACCCCAACAACTTCGTTTGCGTAAATTCTGGCTTTGATTTGTCCTTCATTTTGGTGTGCTTTGCAGAAACAAATAGTGAGATATGTCTATTCCTCCTCGTGCCAGACACAAATTTAGTAGTTCAAATATAGCAGACTACAAAGGTCAGGAACATACTATCATTAGCTTTGTAACAGCACTTCACTACGGGATGCTGATGCATCAGTGGTGGTTGATCAATAATCAAAGGAGTGAATTTAAAAAAAAGGTAAATATAATCCAGAGTTTTTACTATGCTATGATATATCCTCATGCAAAGATAGGTAGCTGAACATTTAGACAACCAAATATTGGACAGGTCAGTAGAGAATTTGTATGTCTTTTCAGAGAATGCTCGTGTGATGGTCTTGGCTACAACATAGCCATTCAAATTTCAAGCATGTGTGATTTCAGGAACACCTATGCACTCATTCACTGCAACATTTAAATAGTAGTGGCACATTCAAATATTGGTGGTACAGGAAGGCCATCATAGCTGGAAGGTATTGTTGAAACTTACTTAGAGAGTTCGACTTATATGTGATATAACAGTGTGAATTGCATGACACAAATTTAAAGCATAGAGCATATTGCGCTGATAGTTCAACTTTTTGTCCATGTTAGGTACTTCAGCTATGAGGTGTTGCAAGTATTTTGGGTTGGCAAACCTTTTGTGGAACAAGCAAGCAACTGCTTCAGGTCTTTTGGAGTGGCAGCCCTTTCAGCCATAACCATTTAGCTCAAAGACCGATAGCTAATGCATTAGTCCATAGCATAGTGTTGCTCAACACTTCTGATTTTGATTTGAATAATTATACTACAGCTTGTAATAATTTAGTATAAGTCTATGTTTGCGAATAACTCATCTATATTTTGGACATGTATTTGGCTATATGCCTGTGACCAGTATGTATAGAAGATTTAATATACTAGTGAATTTGAAGATATGATGTTTTCTCTATAAAATAAAGTTGATTAGTAAAATTATTACGGAGTATTTATCAAATAGTTTTCTCGATAATTTAATTGCCATTGAGAGCATCTTCCCAAACATGATGTGAAAATGGTTTCGCCAACATACAAACTGTCGGGAAAGGTATTAACTGTCGGCGTAGGTCTTAACTGTTGGTGTAGGTTTAACTGTCGGCAAAGGTATACCATTTGGCTACACCAAAAGTGTCGTCGATTCTATTAACTATCGGGAAAACTTTCACTGACTGCTTCTACCATGACTGTTTCTAAATTGTCGACAAAACTTTTGATGAGAGGTTATCTATCGGCAAAAATGCCCTTTGCCCACTATAGAAAGTGTCGGCAAAGGTATGTCATGTTATAGTGAACGAATTTGTTGGAGCCATGGGGCTTCACAAGTATGTTCAAATGGCACTACCAGACAGAGTGAGTACTATCATGGACCAACAGCTTCGGATGGAGATAGAAGATGGGGAACCAGCCACTTCAAACTCCATGCTGAGAATTTCTTGCATCACTTCGATTCTGCAAGTTGGGATTTCCTGTTCGGAGGAGATGCCCGTGGATCGTGTTTCAATTGGAGATGCTCTGAAAGAGTTGCAAGCGATTAGAGATAAGTTTCAGAAGCTCCTCTGTAGTGAAGAAGCATCATCATCCCACTGAAGGGTTCTCCAGCTGCATCCATTAGGTGGATTGTGCATTAGAGTGAGAATGAGATCGATTTGTGTGATTGCATGATATATTTTACTACTATTTTCAGGAAGCACCAATATTCTTCCAAAAAATAAAGTTGCAGTCCTTCTCTATTGTTTGTTTGAACTAAAGCGTTTGTGTGTTGATTATACCGATATTAACAAGGCATATACCCTAAAGAGTTGGGTGCATAATTTTTTTTCACAAATCTTGTATGCATTTTTTTTCTTATTACAAATCTTGTATGCACAATTTTGTTTCACTAGTATTGTGCAAAATTTTATTCTTAAAATCTTGCGCACATAATTTGGTTTTGTTTAATAAATGTTGTGACTGGGTGTGGTTGTGCCACCGCGCCCAGCTCGGCAGCTCGCCCTGCCGCTAGAGCGCCCTCGGGCATCAGGACTGCCAGAGTATATGATCTTCGGTGCAAGCTCCAAGCCCAGATAAAAGTGAGATGCCGGATGGTCGCAGCATTCAGAAGAGCAGGCCCAGAAGAAAAACAACCATTCAGATCAGCGGTTGCATCCTGCACAAGTATTGACTGTGATCGATCATCCTTCCTGTCTGCGAGTCAAAGGGATGAAGTCTTGCTACCAGAAACGACAGGCATTTATCAATGTAGCTGCGGCCAATTGTGACGATTCCTACATATGCGCTCACAAGCGTAAAAGATTCGTTCGTTATTTCCAACCCACAAACTGAAACTGCTAGTGGTGCAATTGCTCTACGGTTGCTTGCCTGATACACTTGGTGGTGCCGTTAGTTACAGGGGAAGAGCAGAAACTGAGCAGGCTGGATCCGCAGGTGGTACGACGAAGCTGGAGAGGACGTGCACGACCTCACGCATGGTGGGCCGTGCCTGGCTGCTCTCTCGGACGCACGATATGCCCACCCTGAAGAGGCGAGCGATCAGGCCGGTCGGCTCTGGCGGCAGCCGCGGGTCAGCCACGGTCAGGACTGCCGCCGTGTCCGTTGGTCTCGGCACGACGCTCCGCGCCCAGTGGACGAGGTCGATCTCGTCGCCGAAGTCGCCGAGCGGGCGGCGCCCCGTGACGAGCTCCAGCAGCACCACGCCGAAGCTGTACACGTCCGTCTTCTCGTCCACCCGCAGCGTGTACGCGTACTCTGCACGCACCACTCTGTGCCCGTCACTGTATGGCGATGCAAGTGCTTATATGTCCAGCGCACGACGTTCTTACCAGGAGCGATGTACCCGTACGTGCCGGCGACGACGGACACGGACTCCTCCGCCGCCACCGCCCTCGTGCCGCCGGAGCAGGACGCGCCGCGGCTGAGGAACTTGGCGAGGCCGAAGTCGGCGACGTGCGCCTCCATCGCCGAGTCCAGCAGGATGTTGTTGCACTTGACGTCGCGGTGCAGGATCCTCGGCGAGCACTCGTGGTGCAGGTAGCATAGCGCGCGCGCCGCCTCGTTGGCGATGCGGTGCCTCGCGGCCCAGCTCAGGAGGAGCCCGCCGCTGTCGCCGTGCAGGACCGCGCCCAGCGACCCCATCGGCATGTACTCGTACAGGAGCAGGTTGGCCTCCGCGCTGGACGCGAAGCCGAGCAGCCGCACGACGTTGCGGTGCCGGATGCCACCGAGCGTGGTCACCTCGGCCCGGAAGCCGTGGTCACGGCGGCCGGGGCTGGGCAGGCGCTTGACGGCCACCTCCGTGCCGTCCCGCGTCACGCAGCGGTACACGGTGCCGGCACCTCCTCTTCCGATGACGTTCTCCTCCCTGAGGCACCGGAGCACGTCGTCCATTCCCAGCTCCAGGTTCTGGAACCGTGTCATCTTCCATGTCACAGGCCGCCGCTTCGCTGTCTCCCGCCACGCCCTGCGCCCCCACCTTAGTCCGAGGCACACGACCACCGCCAAGGCGCTGGCGGTTGGCACAAGCCACAGCAACATCGTCGGCTTGAAACGCCGTGAACTCTGCAACGACATGGGGATGGGGCATGAAGCGGCAGTGATGTGCTCCACACAAAGGCCGTGGTTGCCTTCAAAGTCTGTCTTGTCTGAAACCGCGAACACCCCTTGAAGCTGTGGCAGCAAGACACGGCCGCTGAGGTCGTTGTAGGACACGTCCAGCTTCGAGAGGCTGATCATCTCACCGAGCTCCACCGGAAGCTCACCGGAGATTCTGTTTCTCGACAGGTACAGCATTGTCAGAACCTTCAAGCTTGTGATCTCTTTCGGTATCTCGCCGGTGAGCTGGTTGCGACTGAGGTCTATCACTGTCAGCGACTCGCAGTGGCTGAGCTGTCGTGGAACGCCGGCCGTGAGCGCATTGGCACTGGCGTTGAGCAAGGACAACTTCTTGAGATGGCCGATCTCCGGCGGCACGGGACCGGATAGATTGTTGGATGCAACTGACAAAAACCTTAGCCCAGCACTGGGAATCACCGTTGGGAGCTCTCCTGAGAGCAAATTGTTGCTCAGGTCCAACATGTCATTCATGGGGAGATCAAGAAGGCCAGCGGGAATGGAGCCAGTGAGGAAGTTGTTGTTCAGGCGAACTCTGGCAAGGGTCTTGCAGTTACCGAGGTCTTCAGGGATTGGCCCAGAAAGCTTGTTCCGCATCAGGAAAAGAAACTGAAGCTGCCTCCCGGCGCAGAGGTAGGACGGTATGGTGCCGCTGAGCTGGTTGTCCGTGACATCCAGTTCCAGCAGCTTGCCGTTCTTGCCTAGGTTGGCTGGGATCTCCCCGGTAAGGTTGTTTTGCCATGCCTGGACGATTTCCAATTGAGGCAATTCCCCGACGAACTCCGGGATTACGCCTCGGAGTTTGTTCGCAAATAGATTGAGTAATTTCAGTGTGGTTAGGCCGGCAAAACTTATCGGTATCTCGCCGGTAAGCTGGTTGAAGGAGAGATCCAGGGACATTAGGTTCTTGAGGCTGCCGAGCTCGGCCGGGATCTCGCCGACCAAGTTATTAGAGTATAAGAATAACCCTATGATCCGAGTGAGGTGGCCGAGCTCCGGAGGGATAGGTCCTTGGAGATTGCAGTCGGCCATGTCAAGCACGACGAGGGCCTCAAGCTCGCCGAACTCTGGCGGCACGCCACCATCGAACGAGTTGTGGTACCCCAGATACATCACCTTTACTCTCTTGAGCCTTGAGAGTGACGGCGGCACAAGGCCGGATAGCGAGTTACCTTCGAGCGCGAGGAACTCGAGCTTGTTCATGTCACCGTACTCCTCGGGTACACCGCCTGAGAAGTGGTTCCAGCCAAGGTCCAGGTGCCGCATCCTTGTGTGCGACATGCCAAAAGGTGGGAGGGGACCGGTGAGGTTGTTGCCGAAGACATTGATGACCTTCGCAAATGGGAAGTACGGCGGTGCCGATCGGGACGGAAAGGAGCCGGAGATGTTGTTGATGGAGAGGTTGAGGTGGCGAAGGAGAGGCATTGAGGCGAGTGATGCGGGTATAACGCCTGACAAGGAGCACGAGGCGATGGTGAGGCTGGAGAGAGCGTCCAGTAGCGAGACCTCGCTTGGAAGCACGCCGCCATGGAGAGGGACGCCGGTGAGGTTGATGGCGACGACGCGGTTGGAGGCGTCGCATTTGATCCCAGAGAAGTTGCAATGGTTTGTCCGGGATGATATGCCGCCTGACGCCGATGTCTCGATGTCCCAGTCGGCAAGCAAAGGACTGTTGCGGACGCTCCCGGAGAGTAGGGCGGACTTGAGCTTGGAGAGAGCGTACAAGTCGCTCTCCGGCGAGGACCCCGCAGAGACGACCGTCACGACGACGAGGAGGAGGTCTAGGCGGCGTAGGCAGGGATGGAGGTTGTGTGGCAGCGGCGCCATTGCGTGCATGAGGTTAGGGAACGACGACTGAGGGCTGGTTGAGAGTTGAGACTCCCGTGCATCAGTCACGTATACTCTACTAATCACCCCTCGTCAACGATGAGTCGTCTGTAGGAGCTTTATTACTCCCCACCTTCACTACTGCTGGAATTCCTTGTACATTCCCTCTTTTTATTTTTTACTCGCTTGGAAGCAGTAGTGAAGGTGTGGCTTAGCTTTGTATAAATTCGTTTGCACCAACAGGCCTTGTGGTCTGAGTGGTCGTCTTATTAAACTCCTCACTCACTTCCATATTGTTTGTCTTCTGGTCTACCGGCAACTTTTGGATCACTGGAGTACCTTCTTTCCACAAAAGAGACGCGTTTCCACTATCGACCATAGACTCGTAGTGGTTCCATTCAGTGTCTTTTTACCGGAAAGTCACTACTCTTAGTCAATGTTAAACTTTTTTTTTGCGACACCCAGTTACAAACGTAGACGTTTACATACATGAGCGCACACTCACTCTTATGAACGTAGGCATGCATACCTTACTCCTATAAGCACCTCCGAAGAACTGTTGGGTGACTGGGTGCATGCCGTAATAATGTATATTCGTGTCTTTAGAGAAGAAAACACGTTAATCAAACACTATGATAAATTTATCAAACTCGAGATCTACCAGACTATAGCCATTTGGAGCTGTTTATAGGTATAGAGTGTATGCAACTATTTTTTTAACGAATCGGCACGTGATTGTGCCTATTCCATTGATATAGAAGAGAGTTTACAATCCCCCAGAAGGGAGGAAGGAGAAGCTATTCTTGTGCTAAAAGAATCGCTAAATGTTTTAGTCCAGCTGCGAACCAGGCTACTGCTTTATTTTTAATGATATTCATAATGGATATCGTCGTGGCTTCTCGTTGCCTAAGAGATGAGCTATGTTTGACTGGTCTATAAACCGTTTGTGTTGATTTGTACATCTGATTTGTTGTGAGAGAAAAATATTATACAATGACTGATAAGCCGGCTTATAATGACAGCCGAACAGAGCCGAGGAGAGTAGACTTAATTTTGATCGCTTTTCGAGGCATCTCTTGCTCCGTTGTGATATTCGTAGACCATTCTTGCACTGTGGTGCTTGTCAGCCAATTTTCTGGTCAGAGACTCGGCTG